TAGCGGTACGCGAGCGAGATGCGGCTTAAACCAGTGTAGAGAACGAACGAGAGAGTTGGCTCTGCGATTCGGTTCGAGTTAGTCGGAGACTCTTGACTGTTTGTTGTGAACGGAAGAAGGAAGGAGAGATTTTAGTGTTAGGTTTTAATTCCGAAGACTCTATTTGATATAGAGTTTTAGCGAGCCTCAAGGTTTTCCTTTTTCTTCCTGCTCAAAACCGTAAACCGTCTTCCAAATAATTATAGTAAAATTATTGAATTAAAATATAGTCTTACACTTAATTAATCAAAATAATAATATTTTAGACTTTACACACACATTCGAATACAAAACAAATATCAGGCACTATCATCTTCTTTCTTTCTTTTGTCAATCACTTATTATGCATACGGAAATTGCATGATTAAGACCCATATTAGTGTTAATTACTTCTCTAATTCATATCATCATTACTATTGTAGTTACTAGACAAACGCATTTAAAAAAAAGACTAACCAAAACACCTCACACGGTGTAGGGTGAAGATTCACCTACGGTTTTCAAAACGTCGAAAAACCAAAACCAAAGCGATTAAACGAAAGCTAACAAAAGGTTCCACAAATATAGTCGAAGTACATTGTCATCAAAAGAACAATCTTCCCAACATTTTTGATCATCCATGTCGTTAACAAAGACTTGCTCATTTCTCGTCTTCATCACTCGAAAGCCCGAGTTCTATTTTCACCTGCTTATCTTCTTTGACGGCTTTGTTGGAGGATCCTGATGATTCTGAATGTTTTTTGTCATCATCATCACCCACCGGTTTCCTCACGAGTTGATGTTCTTCTTCTGCTGGTTTCGGACCAGCATCTTTGCTTCCCGATGATTCTTGTTCCACCATGGATGCTTTCTTCTCGATCTCATCAGGCTTTTGGTAAATAGATAGAACGCGTTGAAGCTCATCGTTCAGATGCAGAGCCTCGAAAAGGACTGTCTCGTCGTCTGTTGTGCTCTCTATGATCATTTGAATCAATGGCTGTGATTGCTTGCATTTCTCCATCAGGCTTACCGTTAGATCATCCTGTAACCATCACATATAAAAACACATTACTCTACTTTGTCCTGTCAATTTCGCTTTCAAGCACAGATATCCAAGGAAACAAGAATGTAAACCAGGAGATACTCAATCCAGATTCCATACTCAAAGAGATTTGTGAAAGAAGATGACAATATCACACTTGGATATGTTGGAATTAATGAATAAAGCAGAGATTACCTCTGTGTGATTCGGTTTCCCTTCAGTGTTCAACATGCTAGAGAGCAACTCGAGGCTGTTCCGTGTAATCTCAATCTGTTCTTTCTTATCGTTGATCGATAAGTTTCCAAAGTTATAATCAAGACCCTCATCGACTCCTCGAGATTGTACTTGATTAGGAACCGGATAGCTACCAGGTGGAGGAACTGGAACAGGCCGTTGCATAAGAGACTCCAGAGAACTTTGTCCCGGTATTAAATTATCTTCATCACGAGCACGTAGACCGCTTTCTCCTTCCAAGCTCT